TTTGCTTTCGGTTGGCGATGCTATAGTTTTAAAGTTTTGTTTGTAATAGTTGATGGTACCTTTTCAAATATTGGTCTCGAATATATTGTACTTGTTCCGCTTCTTGATAGATCGTAATTCTATCCGCCAGACTATAAATATAGCGACTATAGCTTAGACCTGTGCGCTGGTCCTTTCATCGGTGGCGGCGGCGCGACGCCGTTGACTTTCTTCGGCGGTGGCGGCTTCGGTGTGCATTGGCGTATCCCTATGGAGGATGTCACATTTCAAAGTTCAATTTAAACCAGTATATTGAATTACTGTATAAGTGACTTGTTACAGATAACTCCAGTTTGAATTTGTTACCTAAAACACCAACAAAGCATTTCGAAACAGCATCGGAACTATTTCCTAAGCCAGTTTTTTGCAGTAGTTATAATCATCCCAGATTACATAGCCTATTCAGTAGGGATGGACAGGTACGGGTATTTTTTACCGGAAACACGACCCGTACCCGAACCCGATGGGTTTGGTTGGGTACGGGTAGGCAAATAATTAAATTTTCGGGTTCGGGTCGGGTACGGGTTACAACAAACGTGGAATAGTCGGGTATGGGTATTTCTTGCATCTTATCCAATTAAGAAAGTAATGATTTTGAGGATCAAAACAAGCTTTTTTGGCGAATTTCTTGAACAATAACACATATCAAATGCCTTGACAAAAACAGAAACCATAAAACTAAGAATATGTGTTCATTGAACTGTAAATGATCAAGAATGGGTTTGCTTACTTAAAACTCAACCCGAGCAAAGCTGGAGATCAAATTGAAATCAAAATTTGCTGTTATGATGTAACTTATTTTGAATACTCCAGTTGATCTCATTTTGGTTGACTAAACGGTTAACACAGCAAAAATGAGAGCAAAATTTTACACTGTTGAAGCAAACGGAAAACTAATCCTGCTATCAATGAAATCAATTTGATTACTGATTTTGCATTCATAATGTTTAACTGAATACGGGCCTGGAGTAAATGGTTAGCATTCATGCTTCTCACGCTGAAAGACTTGGGCTCAAATCTCACCCCGGGCAAGTCACAAATGACCTAAAATGTGTTAAACAAAACAAATAAACAATAATCATGATGAACTTCAATTAAATTTTAAACTAGACGTTAACAGCAGAACTTCAAGTTAAGTTGCTTTCATTTACAAAGTCTTGACTGCATAATGAAAGCACAATATGATGTCAGACTTATGTCGCGACATTTGAAATCAAAATGAGTTTTCATTATGATAGGAACTGCACACTTTAATATCGATTTGCTTTCATTTTGTTAACCGACTTTGCTCGGGAAGCCATACCCGTACCCGTCGAGTTCAAGTTCTGATCGGGTACGTGTATTAAAAAAAATCACATTTCGGGCTCGGGTTGGGTGCGGGTTCTCGAATTTTTTGTATCGGGTATGGGTCTGGTTCGGGTAATAATATTAGACTGAATTATGCACCCGACCATCTCTATTATTCAGTTATTCCGGTTTCACCGAACTGAATGACGGTGGTTTCGATTTACAGCCCGGACAAGAAAATCTTACAGGCTTGAAATTTTCTCGTCTTCCATGAGCATATACCTAGTGGAAGTGTTTGAAACTCCGGTACATGCGGAAACAGTTGACAGATTCAAAAAATCAGGTCTATGATAAAGAAACAATGTTCTTTTGTGTTAACATGAACGACACTTCGTGCAAATTACCGGAGATTATTCTAGTTCTAGAATGAGAGAGTTCTAGTAGCCCAATGACCGTCAGACATGGGTTGATTATGCGTTCCATTCCGCTTTTCTCCATTCCATTTGCTAAATGTCGTTGGAGCAATAATTTGCACGGTGTTCAGATTAGTGCGCCGACTCTAAATCGTCGATGGCGACGGCGTATGGAAAAGTGCCGGTGGCGGCGCACTGAACCACATAACACCCGTCGAATTCGAACGTCGGTACCCAACAGTGAGCAATTACGGGACGCTGGAGTTGTCCAGCATTACGCGCAGCAGCTGGAAGCTGCATTATCCACAGAACAGCAGCTTGGCGCAGCTACTATTGAAGATGGCTGGAGGGACATCCGTTCCGCCATAGGTAGTACTGCAGCAGCAGCACTAGGTACTGAAGAATGCAGCACGGGCGAGAATGCTGCAACACCGCACGAGATTGATTGTGGAGCGATACAGACCAGCACGGAGCAGACAAAGCTCGGCTTTTCGAAGGAAGAAGCGTCAGCAGGAAAACCGAGGTCGTACCGTTAAAATGACACACGGAGATTCTACGAAAAGCGAAATAGTTCGCGCAAAGGCTACGTACCGCAAGCCGATATGTGCAAGGACTTGGACGGTAACCTACTTACGAACGAATGTGAGGTGATTGAGAGGTGGAAGCACTACTATGACGATCACCACAACGGTGATGCAGCAGAAAACGAAGGTGGCACAGGAACAGACTTTGGGTACACGCAGAAGACGACAGGCTACCGGCCCCTAATCTTTAATAAATTGACGAGGAGATCGGTTGGCTGAAGAACAACTGAACGGGGTGGGCCTGTACCTTTTAGCTCAGCAGTGGAATGGGTCTAAAACCCCCGACATCGATGGATGAAAAGGCTTCACGGCAAACAATGGATGCATGCACCAAGCACAATAGGAAGTATTTAATTCTCTTCGTTCGTTTAATTCAGCTGACTAAGCACTCGCGTCGGTTAAATACTACATCGCACTTTATTAACAGAAAACATGCAATAAAAGCTTTATTGTGCTTATCACTAACATGTATTTTACTTAATTTAGGAATAACATAACGAATTAAAAACCGTCGTGGATCTCCTGCCCGTGCGATACAGTGACCTGGTTGAGGTGGAACTGATCGTTGGTCCCGCACGATCGTTGTAGGTAGGTCAGTCCTCCGGCGATGATTTCCTTCGGCTTCTGAGAGCGGGTGATATTCTCACCGCTCTTATCATTGCTGGTCTGGTCATCCTTATCTCTCCTGTGTGATCAGTGGCAATCGATGACGATGATGACACTGATGATGGCATGATGATGGCTTCGCTGCTACGTAGTGGGAGAGAGCAAATCCGATCGTACAGCACAAGATCGTCTTATCCGTGTGAGGGTCTTGATCAACCGAGTTGGTATATTGATATCAGGGTTGTATTTGGATGGATCATCAACTCCTCAACATCCTCACCCATCCTGGAATTCGTTGAATTTCTGAAAATAGAAAGCAGATCCTCCTCGACTGATTGGGATAGTGGGAAGGGAAGGGTGGTTTCATGTTGATGGGGCTGTTTCAATTTGCTTCGTTCGGTCATCTTCTTCGGGAAGCGGCAGGATACAGAGCTTTTCGACCGGTCTAGTTATAAACCCTGTGGCAGTTTTAAGAGTAACAACTCTGATCACGCCGTCTCTGCCAGGATGGATTTCACTGATCCTTCCCATTCTCCATTTCGTGGGGGGTTGGTTGTCGTCCCTTATGACAACCAACTTGCCTACGTCAATTTGAACTGCTGGCTGCCACCGTTTAGTTCGAGCTTGTAGCTGGCAGAGGTATTCCCTGCGCCATCTCTTCCAAAAATCTTGCAGTCTTCTTTGGGTAAGTTGTAGAGAATCCAGGCGATTGATGGGCAGTTCTGTTAAGTCAGGCTCGGAGATCGACTGAAGGGATGAGCCGATCAGAAAATGTGCGGGTGTAAGCGGCTCCAGATCGTTGGGGTCATCGGATAGAGGCGTAAGAGGGCGAGAGTTGAGGCAAGCCTCGACCTGAGTAAGCAGCGTGTTGAAGCTCTCTGGGGTTACTGGTGTCTCTCCTACTACTCTTAACAAGTGGTATTTCGTTGAGCGGACAGCTGCCTCCCACAAACCTCCAAAGTGAGGTGCGCTCGGTGGAATAAAATGCCACTGAATACCATCCTTGGCGCATTCCTTGGATACAATATCATGATGATCGCGACTCTTCAGCAGTTTTAGGAGATCTTGTAATTTATTACGTGCGCCGACAAAATTGGTGCCATTGTCGGAGTAAATATTCGTGCATCGACCTCTCCGTGACACAACTCGTCGTAGTGCTTGAAGGAAACGGTCAGTTGATAAATCTGATACCAGTTCCAAATGAACCGCCTTAGTGCACATGCAAATGAAGATCGCGACATATGCTTTAATTGCGGCGCGTCGAGGAACGGGTCGGAGATAAACTGGACCAAAATAATCAACGCCAGTCGAAGAGAAAGGACGGGATACGGTGACTCGTGTGGCTGGCAAGTCACCCATGAATTGTTGAACGGTCGACGGCCTCGAACGAAAACATTTCTGGCATTTGTGAACGATGTTTTTGACAACGCTTCTGCCTCCCAACGGCCAAAATCGAAGTCGAATCACGCTTAACATCAGCTGAGGTCCAGTATGGAGTAGACGCTCATGTTAGTGTTGCAGGAGTAATCGGGATGTCGAGCTGGAAGAAAAACGGGATGCTTAGCCTCTTCTGACTCCATAGAGTGCTTCAACCGTCCACCTAGTTTGAGCAACTGATCCTTGGAGAGAAATGGGTTAAACCAACGTAACGGTGACCTTCTTGAAACCATCTCTTCTTTGAAAAGCGCCTTCAACTCCTCGGCGAAAACTTCTCGTTGTACTAATCGAACCAATGTATCTTCCGCTTCTCTTAGTTCAGTTGTGGACAGGAATGTTGAGTTGTTCCTTTCCGAAGATGGCGTTCTAAGCAGCTTCATCAGACGCAACCAGTATGCCGTGCGACGAACGAGATCAGTGTACGACGAAAATCTACCGAAATACTCGTTGTTGAAATCGGCGAATGTGGAAACCGTTGCTGCCATAACCGTTTTTCGTTTCTCTGCTTCCTCTTCACATGTTGAAGGAATATTCGGGGATCTCGGCCATTCATCTGAGTTCCTCTCTAGCCAACAAGGCCCTTGCCACCAGAACTTATTTTCAAGAATGTCTTGAGGTGAAATCCCCCGGGAAATCAGGTCTGCTGGATTTTGCGTACCAGGAACATGGAACCACCGAAAACCTTCAGTGATAGATTGTATATTTTCTCTACGTCCGAGACAATCATGATCTGCCATGTCCGACTGCGAAGAATAATAGATCGAAGTTCCTCCTGAAGAACTGCTCCTGCCATCAGGACGTCGTTGAGAGATACTCCGCTTGATGTATTGCACGACGCATCAAAGACCACCCGTACCTTGGTAGTGGTACTTGCCTCCTTGAGCACTGGGTGGTGTGGAAGATAGCACCGTTTTACCACCAGTTCAGTTTCATCCACCTCCCGCATGTGGCCGAGCTTGACGTATTCCTCCATGAAAGCGTTGTATTGCTCACAGAGTGACGGATCCCTGGTGAGTCTGCGTTCCGTTCCTTGGAGACGCCGGTATGCGATGTCCTTAGACTCGCCTAACCGTGAGATGGCATCTTCATTCCTTGGCAGTGAGACGGTGTACCGACCGTCCGAACCTCGTTGAACCGTGTTGACATAATTATCTTCACACTCTTTTTCTTCCAGTGAGTGAACCTTGCCTGAATCAACCTCCTCGCAGGACCAGAAGCGGGAAATTAACTCATCCAGACCAACTAGTGAGGAGAGGAGACCGCCGAACACGTCGTGTTTGCCTGTCCACGTTTCGAGCCAGTATCGAGCGCTATGCTAGCGATATGCGGAGCGGATACCAGTCCGGACAACATCGTTCATAGGATGTGTGGTACCACCGAGAACTGGAGCGCGGTGGTGACTGCGGTCACCCACATAGTTTCGGTATTACAACGACAGTGGCGAGCCGAGCAGCAGTTACCTACTGCCCGACCAGATCGTTAGAGTATTGCTAGAGAGGCGCCATAGCGCTACAGCGGCCCCTCCCACGAAGTAATGCCTTCGGGCGGTTCCGGGGAGGCCAAGGGCCAAGCGCACAGGGTAAGGTTTAGTGGGTCGGGAGTGAAATTCTCCCATCCCCACACCCTGAGTTCCTTCTCAGGTGTCTGTGAGCAGATTCCCCCCTGTATAAAAAAAAAAAAAAAAAAAAAAAAAAAAAGACCAACTAGTGATGATACGTTGCAGCTGATATCCAGAGAGCGATTTGGTTCCGAACTGCCACCACTAATTATCCACCCAAATACGGATTCGTTTAGGGTTGGAAGATGTTCCCCCAGGGAAATTCTCCGTCCGGTTTCGAAAAAGTCGAAAAAACATTCGATACCTAGCACGAGATCCACTACTCTCGGTTCGAAGAATGTAGGATCCACCAGTTGAATCCCACTTGGTAGAGTCCACGTATCCGTATTGACGGTGGCTGTTGGAAGATTTACCGTAACCTTTGGAAGAACCAGATAGTTCAATTCACGAGAGAAGTCAGAAACTCGTGACCGCAGTACCGCTCGAATCCTTTGCCGAACCCTTGTAGCCGCTTGACCAATCCCGGCTACCGAAATATAAACCCGATTTCGAGCAACCTGTAACCGCTGACTCAATCGCTCCGTAATGAAATTGCTTTCGGATCCCGAGTCCAGTAGAGCGCGAGCTGGATGACGATTTCCAACGTCGTCCTCGATAACCACAACTGCCGTTGCCAAAAGCACCTGGCTAGATCTTTGATGAGCTGCAGCGGACACTGCAGTTTCCGTGGCTGCCACGTTAGCCACTTGCGTATCGGATGAGCTAGATGACTTCTGTTGGTCCTCAGAAGTGAATGATTTGCTGCCCCCAGCAACTGCAGCAACCTTGGTTTCCTTTTCCTTGCCCTGCTTGAAGCATACTAGAGTATGGTGACGTCCCTTGCAGTTCCTACAGGAGTATTTTGATTGACAGTCCTTGGCGTGATGTCCTGTCCTGAAGCAGTTCCGACAGAGTCCATTGGATTTTACGAGACCATCCCTGTCCGATACTGCCATCCCCTGGAATTCATTGCACTGATGGAGAAGGTGATCCGAAGAACAGGCAACGCAGCGTCCCCTAGACGCTTGAGAATTGTAGCTGACCTTCACGGGTTGTGGTTTCGACTTCGGTTGTTGCTGCGACTGGCCGACACCCTTAGTGTCGATGGACTTCGTTGGTAAGCTGTCCAAAACCTGGATTCTACGCCGAAGGAAATCGCATAGCTCCTCCAGAGTATCCTGCTCCCTTGTTGATGATACCTCTTCCCACCCTCTACGCGTGACCGGGTCCAATCGTGCTGTTAGGATGTTCACCAGCAGAAGATCCTTATAGTCAACCGGTTGGATGACCTGATCGAGAGTCTGCACAATCCGTTCATAACCTTCCACTAGGATGTGCAAGTCAGCTCCGGACTCCTTCGAAAGTGTGGGTAGCTTGAAGAGAGCTTGTACCTGTCGCTTCTTCAGTTGCTTGCTGTTATTGTAGCGTTTTAACAGCATATCCCATGCCACATGGTAATTGGCTGCCGTGATCGAGAGTGGTTCAATCAGGGCCTTGGCTTCTCCTTGAAGGCAACCCTTTAAATAATGGAGTTTTTCCACCTCCGGTAGATCCGCCTTCCAGTGGATTAGCGACATGAACAAGTCGCGGAAACTCAGCCACTCGTCAATGTTCCCACTGAAGGTATGCAGGTTGATCTGTGGTAGGCGCACATGATCAATGGTGGCCGATGTTGATCCTTCACCTGTTCGTATGGACTGCTCCAGTGCTTGGGGTTTCTGGAGTTCCTTGATCTTGTCCATTAGAAAGGACTTGACCTCATAATAACGATCGCTGAACTCGATGCGTTCCTTCTCAAGTGTCGTCTTCTCTGCGTTGTACTCGTCGTGGGAGAAGATCTCTACCATGGCTTCACTGTAACTCTCCCACAGCTTGTCCAGTTTCCCAATACGTACCTCCACCTCGGTAATGTTGTTGGATTCAGAAAACGCTTGAGTAAAACGGTAGATGTCATTGAACGACAGTTGTATCTGCTTCAACCTTGCCGTCAATGCCCTCATCGACGGCGCCTTGGCTGGAATTCCTCCGGTTGGCATGGTGTTATCGTCACGGTAATGCAATTAGTCGAGAGAGAGAGGTGCGGTGTAGTATCTTGCAAAGAGCCTAGCTTCGCCAGGCATATACTAGTTTAAATTACCCGGAGAAACGAGTAGTTGCGCTTCAAAATTCCAAAAGGGAAACCCGCAGCCACGTGACGTCACACGTCGATCACAACAAGAACAATAGCGATCTCAATTAAACTACCAACGGTGACTAGCAAACAGCCAAATCCAAAATGATCGACGAAACCAATACTCGAAAACGTAAGCCAAAACGGTAATCAGGGCTCAGCGATTAGAGAGGTAAAACGAAGTGGGTTGATTCCAAATTAAAATTGTGTAATTCCATACGCCTAGCTTCGGTAGTACACTAATATAAATTTACCTTGACAGTAATGTGTGTTGCTTCCACTCTGCGTCGAAAGTGTGCCGACGGATGTTCACTGGCCTAATGTGCACCAATGTGGTTGAATTACTCATGAGCCCCAGACAGTGTACTGGTTTAAAGGATGCGCCTTCCTTGATATCCAAGTATTGTGTATATGCCAAACTTCCTTCCGATAAGTAGAGCTTCAAAACCGTCGCTCCTGGATGATGGTGAATGGTAGCACAGTGCCAAATCAAAATTGGCAAGAACAGATTCCCGTATAAAGAAAGCGTTGCGCCAGTCCAGCGTTTGATGAAATGATTCTCCACCATTCCGTGTTCTCACTGATGTTGTAGCATGCAATATTGCAGTTGAAGTTCAATATACGACATGGCAGCCCGAGCCATATCCAGCATGTCCAACAGCGATGGCGCTCTAGCTCAAGCGACGCCTTATCGATGCAATGACCTCGGATAGTCCAGGATCACGATGGTGGATCCAAGCGTCATGCGTCAGTCCAAGCAAGGAAAGTTTATCGACCCAGTGTCGACTGGCTTACCGGATAGTCCAGGATCCGGTTCGACGGACCAAAATGAACGGGGGTGGGCCTGTACCTTTTAGCTCAGCAGTGGAATGGGTCTAAAACCCCCGACATCGATGGATGAAAAGGCTTCACGGCAAACAATGGATGCATGCACCAAGCACAATAGGAAGTATTTAATTCTCTTCGTTCGTTTAATTCAGCTGACTAAGCACTCGCGTCGGTTAAATACTACATCGCACTTTATTAACAGAAAACATGCAATAAAAGCTTTATTGTGCTTATCACTAACATGTATTTTACTTAATTTAGGAATAACATAACGAATTAAAAACCGTCGTGGATCTCCTGCCCGTGCGATACAGTGACCTGGTTGAGGTGGAACTGATCGTTGGTCCCGCACGATCGTTGTAGGTAGGTCAGTCCTCCGGCGATGATTTCCTTCGGCTTCTGAGAGCGGGTGATATTCTCACCGCTCTTATCATTGCTGGTCTGGTCATCCTTATCTCTCCTGTGTGATCAGTGGCAATCGATGACGATGATGACACTGATGATGGCATGATGATGGCTTCGCTGCTACGTAGTGGGAGAGAGCAAATCCGATCGTACAGCACAAGATCGTCTTATCCGTGTGAGGGTCTTGATCAACCGAGTTGGTATATTGATATCAGGGTTGTATTTGGATGGATCATCAACTCCTCAGCAACAACAAAGCAACTGGTGTAGATCAACTACCAAGTGAGCTATTAAAATACGGTGGTGAAGCAATAACTAGAGCGCTGCACTGTGTAATTGCCAAGATTTGGAAGGAGCAGATATTACCGGAGGAGTGGATGTAAGGTGTCGTACGCCCCGTAACGTGGGTAGATAACCTTTTCGTGGTACGTTACGGGATGTAAGATCTACCACCGATTCCTAGTCCTGACTACTTCAAACAAGGGGGACAGGATTTTTCAGTAATCCAAGGAACACATCTTAGTCCTTGTTACTTGTTATGCATTGTTGATAGTGACAAGACTCGGCTTTGTCCACCGAGGATGATCTTGAAACAAGGAAAAATGAGTTAGTTAAATAGTCTTCATCTATGTGATTCCTAATCTTCTATTCGTTGTTCCCTAGGTTTGAAGTGGTTAAGACTAGGGTTCTGTGTATGGTCATTATCGGTGTCATTCCTTAATTTTGTTGTTAAGAAATCCAATTTCGACTGACAAAGGGGCGCGCCTTTGGAGGGTGTTACAACACTCCGAAGGGTATAAATAGCGAAACGGTGAAAAAATCGAATACTTCATCATTTCTCAATAGACATGCAATAAACTAAGGACACGGGATATACTAAAATAGATCAAATGACTGGTCGCAGTGGTGTTAGGTCCCGAACAGAGTGAAAAAAAAGTGCCGTACGCCCAATCCACAAAAAATGGCGAACAGTTGGATTGCTGCAACTACCGCGCGATCACCCTGCTGGCTGGTACTCTCCCAAATTCAATGCCGCCGCCATTTACAAGAGAGTTCGTGGGGCAATACCAGGCGGGATTCATACCACGGACCAAATTTTCGCGATTCGTCAGACAACAAGTGCCCACGCATAATGATAGGCGAGCTATTTATCTTTTTGAGAGTTCATAATGTGCATGCCGCCACTGTAACGTGCACAAACTTCTTGAATAAAACTGTAAAATAAAACATTTGTATATAGGGGAAATGGATGTAATGTCGGCCTAAATGCCCCTAATTTGGGCCCATACATAAATTTTGCAATCGACTAAATTTTCAATAGCGATCAAAAATATCCATTCGTACCGTCCCAATGACGCGTTCATATAGAAAAAAAAGATAAATAGCAGATTTTTAGCGATGAGCCCAATCTTAGATCCATAGGCCAACATTAGAGCCATCTCTCCTACTTAATTTTGTTTTTACGTGATCCTGCATGTCAGCAAAATCGAAATGAAATCACGTAAAAACACAATTGGGTGTAAATCATGCAAACACAAATCTCTAAAAACTCTAGTGAGCAACCCAAAGGTCTAAACTGAAAATGTCAACCCTCAGCCCACGGCGATGAAAAAAAATCTCTCAAATGGGTTGTTTGCTCGATATATGGAGCACTTCCGCCGCCAGTACCATGTCACCGGTAATGACCCATAACTCTCTGGTCCCAGCAGCGGTTTATCGCAGACCGTGTTTGGCTTTTGTTCGTCTGTCTTGAAATGTGGCGATTTATTTTTCTTTTTTTTTTTTGCTGTTGGACACGGTTGAATTCCCGCGTTTTTTTAGGAATGAAAACCACAGCCCTCTCGCGAATGAAGTAGACATAGGTGCACGCGAAGCCATCGTCGTCGTCGTCCTCGATACCGTCGATGCTTATCTAGCGGCTACAAATTACATCCCATTAAGCCAAACACGTACCCTTCGCTGCGGTTCGGGGATTTCCGTTTCTCCGGGCAAGAATGCGGTTCATGAAAAACACCGGATGGTACGGATCGAAGCACCAAACGAATGTGATGGAAGGTGTTTTTCTTTTATTTTTAACGAATTAATCGCCCTAAATCATTCCTTCCTAAAACACATTTACACAAATGAGAACAACAGGTATTCCGAAAGACTATCATTGCGCTGCTCCACATCCGACCAATCCACGGAGGGGGCGTAATTTGTTCAAAAGACAAAAAAAAAACGCAAAAGCAAAAGTGCAATGTCGCATGTCAGATGTATACTCAATTAACCACAATTCGTGGCAGCGAGGCATTATTTTTTATTCGTTGCACACCAACGACGACGACGACGACGACGACGAATGGCTCGGCAATCCTTTATTGTTGTTACGCACGGTGGCGGCATCGGCGGTGCGGCACGACGGTCGGCCCGGGTTGTCAAAAGCCCCGTAGGGTATCCGCCAAAGTTGGTTTTATGCCGTTTTTCATGTTTGCTCCTGTTGAACTCCGGGTTCAGTTCCAGAAAATTAATTTCGGATAATGACTTTATTAGTGAGTTACATTTCCACACTGGCACTACTGGGGGGGAGATTCTACTCTTTTTGGAGCATCGTATTCGCGTGTTAGTTGGATTGTTCTCATTCGTTGAATTTGCAGTGTATTTTCTCGGGGATAGTAAAAAGTGTATTCTCGACTCCATAAATAAATCTGAAGCCAGCAAGTTTTTTGTGTGACTAGTGCACTTTCCAGTATTCACTTAACAAATTACCATAACCATAGAACGCAAAGCAAAAACTGTTTTTCCTTTTGATTTTTAGGGAACTCACCACTAGCAAAAGTGAAGACATTAATAACCAGATTGAAGTCATCTGGCTGCATCCTAACAAGTTTAGCAAATGCCAGGATATGTGCTGAGGATCCAAACGATTGAGACTCCAGATGCAGTTACCTTTTGTGGATGTTCTTTGTCGCATTCCAATCAAAGAAATTCAATTTTCGAACAAAATCAAATGCAACTGGTGTGTACTAGCACTTTTTCATATGTCAACATTGATTGTTGCATTTCTTAGCTATACCTATTACCGATATTGTCTTGTAGTCAGGGGTTGAAACGGCTTTGGATGGTTTTTTTTTACTATACTCGCTTCGATCCTTTACCGTCGGCTTTCTTACACAACACAAATGGTTGAACAACATTCGAGCAAAAAGAACATTATCTTATAACTATCATATGACCATGTGTAATTTTGTTCTAGTTCCTCAATTGGGTGTACATAAAACCATTTCTGATCAGAAATTTCATTATTAGAACATCGTTGCTTGCTATTTTCAGAGTTTGCACAAGCACAACATTAGCAGCTCTTATTATGATGCATGATGATGCATGATAGTGGCCTACCACCCATTGTAGCATGAATACTAAGTCCACCAGCAGCGGGCTTTCCTCAGTGTCTTGATCAAACTTAATAACCACTGATTGTCTCCTTGTTGGGGGGAGTTGAACTATTGCGTCCATTATGTGAACTTTTGTGGTACACCTGTATAGTGTTCGTATCATGCAAGCTGACCATCATTTAATGAGTGGACAGCTAATTGCCTGGACACGTCCTTTCCCAGTCAGGTATGATATGGTTTATGAAATCAACTACCTTTC